TGAAGCCTTCCTCTTTTGCACCAGTCAATCACTGCCGTGTTCGTTGCACCGTTGGCACCGCCGTGCCTCGTCGTGTCCCTTCACCACCGTGTTCGTCGGTTGGGATGCCCAGGATTCCATCGACAACTGCAAGGTCTGCCAAAGTGGCTTCGTGTCCATCAAGGGGCAGAGCCCTGGAATGCATGGGGTTGTGTGGGTGTAAGCGGGTGGGTCAACACATGACCTATGGACCTACAGTGAGAGTTGCAAAAGTTGGATGTTGAACTGTTGAACCCCATGTTTGAACTGGTACAGTAAATACTGTAATTGGTTCACTAAGTGCCTGGGCATTAGTTGGCATGGGTAGAAATCTGGCCTATTCTATGTACATTTTGGGAGCGTGATCCTCACTCGGAGATGTGCCCAGACGTTTTTGGTGGCGACCACTGTGAAACAGCCTTCCTGGCCAAAAGGCCGTAGAATGGGAAGTGACTTTGAAGGAGCCGGTTGAGGTTTTGCAGGTCTCCGGTCACACTCAATAGGCCCACAAAGGAGTGTCTGCCAGTCAGCCAATCAACATCAATCATCCTGTGAACTGACAAGAGTGACCCCTTGAGAGAATTTAGTTACTCATTTGATTCAGCTAACAGTTATCCAATTGGAAAAGGGACCAAAAACGAGAGTTGGCGGTCCAACACAGCAGTGGCTTGCAGTTTCACACATGTTGACGGGCAGAATTTGAATGGGCAGAAATGGGCAGAATATGAAAGGACAGAAGGACAAAACCATATAATCCATTGAATGGCTCGAGAGCACGACATACCATTCAACCAATCGTTCAACCAACCAAGTCTTTCAGTCAGAACATCCCCCTCAACTTCAGTCTTTGCGTCCTCTCCTTCCCCCAACCCCGGGGAATCCTCCAAGCGAGGTGCAAAGGCTGTGCAGACCGTTGCAATGTTTGTGATAAGGCGAGGGGGGGCGCCGCCTCCCCACGCGGATCGGTCCGATTTTGGGCACACCAACAGCGTGGGTGTCTGTGTGTTGGGCGGGTGATCTACCATGCTGGGAACAGCCTCTATCCAAGCATGAAATAGGGGGACCTCGCGGCTGGGACCTGTAGGGGAGTAGTTGGTGGTTTTCCAGCATAGCAAGTCTCTACTTGATTCATTGGACAGACAGAGGCTGGTCCAATACAGCCTTTACAATTGATAAAGATTGGGGATGCGTCAAATACTGAAACAGTGCCATTGTTGGTAGGGACGACCATCCCCGAAATCGAGCGATGGAATTGCCTTGCAAGATGCCGTAGTGCCCACAGCATGGTTGATGACATTTCCCACTGACCCTCCGCCCACCTCCGCAATGTTGTATTCAAGTGACCGGTTTGGGTGTGCAAGACAATGTCGTCAGGGCAGGTGATACTGGTAGTAAATACTGGTAGCTGCAATTGGCTTATCCACGCCTATGCCTAGGAATTGCCTCACCGTACAGATGGCCCTGGTTATTCATCAAGGTCATGTTCCCAACCTTTCTGCTGTGAACTCTGTTAACACTTTTGTCATGTTCCCTCCCTTTGTTCCCAACTGTGTTCCCAACCTCTTCAAGACCAAAGATAACCCCAATTCCCCCCCCCAAAGAAACACTCTCATTCCCAACTATGTCTCCCAACTTGTTCAAGCCCTTTCGTTGTTCCCAAAGCCTTCCCCCCCCAAGAAATCCTCCATCCTTACACCGCTCTGAACTCACACTGTTCGATGAACCCGCCGCTGCCAGTCGTCAGGCCGGCCCGGCCAAGTGCGACCGCTGCTTCCAGGGCTTCCACCTCACCAAGGAGGTCACACCCCTGTGGGGTGGTCCTTTAGGGAGTCCTTTGTCCGGGCAGCGTTCCTATCCGATCGTCGTGTGACATGTGCGTTTTCGAGGGACATGTGTCGTTTTTGCTTAGACTCTATAATATAATACGCGTGGAAAGATGGACTTAATGATTGTGGGAATACGTAGGTTGACTCAGATGGAATCCAAATGTATACGATTTCACCTCACTTCACCACTGCTGGTGAGTTTGTTGCATTTGATCACGGCGGTTGGGTTCTGGGACCAAAGTGGCTTCTTTCACTTGTGCTTTGCAGTTCCGAGCCCTGTTCTTCCCCGGGAGTTGCGTCGGTTCCTTGCCCGACATGGGCGTCCAGTGTTCCAGTGGTTTTCGCCTCTATTCATTCAAGGTTTGCTTGAACCAGGTTGAACAGCCCTTTGTCGTCCATCCCATATGTACCACAGACCAGAGTCCTAGTTGAGGTCTCTCAACCTCTCTCGGAAAAGTCGAACGGTTCCTGTGGCCCGGCCTCGCGACGGTTCCTCTCCGGTTCGCGCCTCCTGCCAGTCCATTTGTGAGCGAGGGGCGGCCAGCTGACGTCCGGGACGTCTCACGCGGGGGACGGACGCATGGCGGGCCGGACGCAGCGAAACATGAGCGAAGCTGATGTGGGGAGGAGGTCGGGGGGTGCGGCTTGGGAAGTGTTCAACAACTTGGTGTACACTCCCAAGAACGAACTTGGACCCTGAACATGGCACATCATGGCACCCGAAAGTGTGCTTTCCTCTCCAGACCAGTGGTTTTCAGGTATACCGACAATCTATGACAATCTAAAATGGGTGTGGCGAAGTTCTGGCGAAGCTATATGATTCATTTTGTATAAGACACAACTTTGATCCAACTTAATGGCTTGAAGCACCTTTGATCTATTATAACTTAGGACTTAATAACCTCTAACATTTTCTTGGAGCTAAAGTATAAAACAGCTCAGAGTAAACCCAAGGACAGACAGAAGTGCTACAAGTTTCCAATCCGAGGCCCTGCAGTGCCACCTGCAGCCCAGCCATCATCCACCAGGGTCGCGCTCGGCCATTGCCAAGGGTTAGAGAAGAATGCTTTGCATTGGCTACTACATCCATTTGATCGCAGGGAAGAGGAAAGCAACCGAAAATCTTGGATGAACATGTGCAAGAAGACAAAGAGAAGAGGTTCATGGGACCTATGCGAAGAACCACGCCAAACCAGTACAGTTTGCGGCAACGTTTTCCTTTTGCCTAAGTAGTTGAGGTTCAGGCTTCGAGGTTGTGCTACAGACGCTTGGCAACTTGGCAATGGCCGTAGCGCAAGATCAATGAAACAACACAACTAAAGCCTGCAGGTCCCAATCCTTGTTTTTGTGGGACAGGGGGTCGGGTAACCCTTCAGCCCACGGATTCTGACCCTTTGCAAGTTTGGGAGAACATTGTAAGAACATCCATGGATTCTATCCGTAGATCGTTTGACATCCATAGAAAGCAGAACTTACTTGTTGTATTGGTAGATTTCAGGGAACGAAAGCGAGAGGAATACAGCTCAAGCCTAAGCGCATTTACTGCCTTCTGATTGGTGGCAGTGCATGAACATGCATGAACAACAACTCCACGGCGCATCATCAGACTTCCCCATACCCAAGAAACCCATCTCTAGGGTCTGTCCTATTGCCTGTAACAGTCAGTAGACAATTATCATCATGTTTGAACAAGGCCTGCAACCTAACCATCATCATCCACTGGGCCCAGGTAGACTCGGATAGACCCAACCCATCTATATTTCAGATTCCCTGAGGCACTGAGTTATCAATTACTACGGCCTTCTACAGCAATACCCTTCATGGTCCAACCTGGTGGCTTTTTTCCACGGCTGCAATCGAGACTTTGGGCAGCTGGCACGTATGAGAATGTCTCTCCATGAAACCTAAGAATCTCAAAACGACGAATGGGCCCAAGCGGGTCAACAAGTGCTAGGCCAAAACAATATATACTACCTTCGGATAACATGTCACTTAGTGACGCCTTCACTGCGATTTGTTCGCCGCAGTATGCCGCACACCGTCTCCCAGCGCACACCGTGGCCTCCGCAGGACGTGGCGGACACCGTGGTCTCGCCGGTGGCGCCGGTGGCGAAGCGCCCGGCGAACCAAAAGACGCGGAGATGCGGAGCTCGGCTGCGCCAGGTCAGTGGAGCTCGGCGAGTGTGACGAGCACTGACCTGGCGCCGGGAGGGGCGAAGACATGGAAAGGCAGGTGTATGTGATGGGCACCATGTGATGGGCGAAGCCTGCAACTCCCTGGGTCAAGAGGGTCAACTTCAACGACGATAATGACAACCCTTCGTGTTTCAAGTGTTTCATGAGGTTGGACATGTTGCTTTTGGCTGGGCCATACCCCTCCACAGTCCAGCCCATGACATTTAGCATATCATGTGTCCAAACCCTCCACCGTTTGCAGCGGAAAACGCTAACATGCTCTAACAACAGGTCAAGTTCAGAGATTGATCATGGTTCAACTGGGTGCAGAATCCGAATCCATATGACCAGCCATTGGAGAGTCCCAAAAGGAGAGGGTTCCATTTGGATTTTGGCATCGGTTTACATGGCATTTGGAATACTTGAGACTTTCACAAAATCAAGGGACCTCCAAGAGGAGCTGCCTTTGAAGTAAGGTATATAGCTAGTTTTGATGGCACCTGACATGATGAGTGATGTTGATCTGCGGCGTTGTTTTTGTGGCGGCGCCGGTGTCCATTCGGGAATTCTGAAGCGCGTTGTCATGGCCCAAACGCATGAAGCAAGCTACAAAAAGGAGGGGAGGTTGGGTCAGACTGAGACTCCAAGAACTGAATGGAGAGTCGTCCATCAACTCACCTACCTGGACACTACCTGGACATTCGAACATGTCTAACACAGTCTTGGGAAATCCTTGTAAGAAGGCAAAGATCAAAAGCATTTGACCAAAAGATGCTGGTAAATGAGCAATGCTTTCAAGTGCTCACCTTGGAGAGCTCATTGACTCCAAGCCCCATTCATGGATTCAATGCTTGGATAAGTTCTTTCAACGTTCCAGACCGAAAAGTCGCCCTCAAGCAGACCGAAAAGTGTCGGACCTGGTGATATCCATGTTTGGAACCTAAAGTCCTAAAAAGGACCAGATCCATCAACCCCCAATTGACAGTCCGTGTGCTGCTGTGGCCGCAGCCTTCTTTGAAACCACGTGGCATGGCGCGGCATGACGAGGAGCTTCCCTTGTTGGCCTCTCCTGCTCCTCATATCGAGGCCCTGGGCGCCTCACCACAACCCGGTGCTCAACGCGGTATAGACCGGTCCGCCGCGCAGTGCTTGGACCAGAGTTCAGTAGCATGTTCTGTATCTTTTTCTCATATATGAACTACGGTCAAAACATGCAGGGGGTAGGTTTGTGCACAAAGTGGACAATAAGGTCCAATTCAAAACCGATACTGTAACGTCAATGTTTTAGCTGAAAGGCATATTATGATTTTTGACCGTCCCTCATATGTTTTAAGTGATCACCGACTAGACTGCTTCCGGGTGTTCATGGAAAGTCTCTTGGTTTTGTTTTTTTGAGCCATAGCCCAGAACTCAATGAAATAGTTTCAAGGCAATACCTGAACTGCGACACATCCCTCAAGTTGTGGGAATCCCCGAGTTGGGCTCGCCACGCAGCATGTGACAAAAAACAAATCTTAGATGGCTAACGGCTAACAGACTGGATCCAGACGGGGTCCAGAGAATGATGGAGATGTCCAAGTTCCATGCGCAATTGTCGAACTTTCCATCCATTTTTTGACATATAGACTTGGTCTATATAGGTCCATTTGATTGAGCTTTTACCCAAACCTTACAATCCAAAGCTTCCACAGTCAATCCAACTCCACTGAGGCTCGCGTGGAAGAAGCTTCTGGTGAACAGTCCTCCTGCCTGGGCGCAGTCTCCCGACCTACTGGGCAGCCGACGGGGCGAGCCACAGCTGGAATCGAGGATCCCACCGTTCCTTGCACGACAGGACCTGGACGGAAGTGGGATGGGCGGATGATGGTGCCGCACGCGGATGGGTTGAATATATTAAGGCTCCTCTGATGGGTTGAAAGAGGTGACTTGGTTTTGGAGTTGCATGTTGAAAAGTTTGGGAGGTAAACGTGTACTATTCATACAGGTTACATGTCAATAGGCTTAAGAGAACTACAATTGTTGAATGATCAGTACGGAGATTGCTTCTATGATAGTGATCTTCAACCACCAGTTGTAGTTTGCTTGCCATCGCAGTTGGGAGGGTAACCTTGTTGTTCGAATTTGTTCGACATGTTTGAGGAAACATTCAGGGACAAATTTGCGGTGCTCAGCTTCTCCAAGTCAGTTAGACAATGTTAGACATACATACGGCCAAGCTTAAGCCTCACCTGTAGTTGCCTTCCTCAGGTTTCTCCAAGTCAAGAACAATAGCCAAACCGTGTCCCAAACCAGCTGAGCCGGTCGCTTGGAGCACAGGGTCCGGTCTGGCGCTCATCCTCCGTGCTGAACCGCTTCGCCCAGGTTCCCCGCATGGCCGAGCAGCTCGACGACCTGGCCCTTCGAAACGCCCAGCCTCTCCCAGGAGTGGCGAGTCGGGCAGTTCACGCGGTGCAAGGTGAGCCGGAACCGTGTTTTCCAAGTGATTTTGGTGCTTAAATAGATCTTTAACGGTGGCTGCTGCAGTTCGGTGAGGTTCTGAAGTGGGGCATTGCTGGAGGCATTGATAAGACCTCCCAAGGAGGGAAACCTACCATGTAATGGTGCACGCACGCAGTGACCTAACGCAGTGCCCATGCTTAACTCCTTGGTCAGGCCATTTGCATCCCCTGAAGAGCAAAGGTCTTCGATCTTCTTCAGGAAATGGAAAGCGAGCCTCTCATACAAGGCGCCCCTTTCTAAAACAATCCGACAATCTGCATATTGCATCATGTTGCGTCGTATGATATATACATACTCGTGTGTTTGCATTTTTCTACACATATAAGATATAAGTACACATGACACAATATGCATACATTATGTAGAATATGCTTAATAATATGTCGCCAACCTGTATATTCCTGTTAACCCTCCATCCTAGAATCATGGATGCAGTTTGTGGTTTGTAGGCTTGACTGCAGAGGCTTCCAGTTTGGGCCATTTGCTTCCGGTTTCGGTCTTCTTCGAGTATCTTCAAGTCTTGGAGGTTGTGCCCCACTGCATTTGGACATTCGCGTCACTTGGACGAAGCTGGACATCATTGAAGCCTTGGGTGAGAAAAAGATGTCCATTTCACATGACGATTTCTTCTCGGACCACGCCAGGATGATGAGGATGAGATCGCGCGCTTCTTAAGCGTCCCGACGGCCAATGCGGCGGAACGGGAGAGGCGTTGGCTGTTCAGCCTTGGTGGCCACCAATCGTACCAATCCCAAGTCAATGGAAGCCAGCACCGTACGTGGTGCGAAGTCCAACAATAGCCGATAGGTTTTCCTTCAAACACGCTGGCCGCTTGCCCTCCGCGTTCGCACCATTTGTGACAGCTTCGCTGCGTATGCTTCGCTCACAGTGGCTAAAAAGCGTTACTCTGACAAGGACACCTGGTATGAAAAACAACCAGTTGAGTTTGTGCACTTTTAGTGTCGTGACGTGTCATGCTCACAGTTCCAAACTGGTGGATGTTCGTTCATGCTTTAGAGAAACAACATTGACACTTGAAACCATCAAAGCAAACACCGCGGCAGTCGCATCCGCCGGGTTCGCCGTTGTTTGCCGGCCAAGGCCACTGCACGAGCTTTGACGAACTCCTCCGCTCCACGCCGCGCGCTCCAACCGCAACGCCCGAGCGCCGAGTTGGTGCAGCCTCGAGGCTGAGCGACCAAGTGTGGTCGCCGCAGCAGTGCCTCGGTATGGCGTCAAGGCTGATGGGGCGGATGGCATGACATGGACGTTTCATGATTTTTCATTGGGCGGTGCTTGGGAGGGGAAGACCTGCACAGATGGTGTTCTTTTTGCACCTTGGACACCTGAATGCATGGACGTCAAGGTGTCTCCAGGAAGACCTGGCATCAACAGTCATAACTTATAACTCACGGATGTTTGGCCCCAAACCTCAAGCTGATAGAAGCTGCAGCCGCTCCAAAAAGGCTGAGTCACGGATCGCGCGATACACGTGACTGTCCCTCTCTTCTCGCCTTCCATCGCGCCGCTCGCCCCGAGGATGACGGGTGCCAAGCCCCAGAGGTCCCGGCCGAGCGAGGCGTCGACCGCCACGCCACCGGAGCACCACGCCGAGACCAGCCAGGCGAGCACGGTGCGACCTGTGTGCTGTGCTGTGTGCTGTGCTACCACCGAGACACATGGTTTGGGAGGATTGAGCGAACGTGATCAGAAGATGCGAACGATGTGGGTGACATGAACCCGTGCATTCTGTTCTGATGGTGGCCGTCGAACGGGTTTGGGGGATGGGTCTGAAAACGCGGTTTCAAACAGCCGATCAAAACATATAATGGCATATGTGCTGTCATGTTTGCGAATATGTTTTCTTCATGGAGACATGACACACATGTTTGAGCAAAACCTGCTGTGTGTTTGTGTGTGTGTGGGGTCCATGATCCCTAATTGCTACACCAAATTGATCAAAATGTGGGGCGATAAGAGTGTTGCAGCTTGCAGGTGTGAATTTTGTCGGGTTAACCCTGAAATGTTCAAGATTCCCAAGGCCGTCGATATTCATTCTTCAGTTCTGGGGCAAGGTTTGAGCTACTTACAAAAATGACATTGATCGCGGGAGCTGGGAGCTAGTGGAAGAGCTTGCACATGACATCAAGAATAGAACACAAATTCACTGATTGATCAGATGCGACTGGCAGGAAGGGACTGGGACGACCTTTGACATGGTTTGGGCGTGGGCGTCCAGTGGGTGCATTCGGTCTGCGACGTCCACCGCTTGGACCCTCCTGGAAACCTATAGGGCACGAGGCATCATCCAAGAGATCCTTTGACTCAGCTGAGGGTCAACTGCGTCAGACAGGTGGAGTTTTTGCAAGTTTGTTGCAGACTCAAAGAATATTCGAGGGTTACACAGTTGCACAGGGACAGGGACTGCTTGAAGCAGTGGAGTAGGGCTTTGCTTTGCGGAGCATTGGGACGACTTGCCCCCCTTTAAGCCTTAGGATCCTTGAGGGAATGGATAGGACATGATTCCCCACCTGCCAGGTGAGTCAATGTTGCATCAAAGTTGTTTCCACCTCCTCCGCCAGCTCTAGAGCTTGATTGGCAACACCATGCAACACCTGACCTGAACAGCAAGCTCAAGATTGCAGTGGGCACCACAGGACCTGAACCAGCTGCGCTGATGTCAGAAGCAATGCCAGAATATATGCCGGATAGAATATCAGGAACATATGCGCAAACATGTGCCATGTAGAGTGCCAGTTTCCATGCTAGATAGGCTAGAATGACATGGCAGATCCCCACCATGGAATTTCAAAAACCGTGGCATTCCCCGCCATGGCAATTAAAATCATTTATATATAATAACCTTGAAACGCGATGGTGGGGCTAAGTAGTTTTCATTTTTCTTGACAAAGGTGTTTAGCTGATGTTCTAGGTGGGTGATTCGACGGTCTAGCTGTCCATAGCTGCACTGAGACGGCGAGAAGTATTCAGGCAATCCACCTAGGCCCCGATGCTCACCAGCACCGACGATTCAACCTGGTTCCGAGAAACTCGGATCAAGAGAAACCGAGAAGCCTGGTTCCGAGTCGAATTCCTGAAGCCCACTGGGTGGGCTTCAGAAACCTCCATTGGATTTGCCACCTCCCCAGAGAGGTTAAGTGACCTTATAGGACCCTACTGGGGTACTGAACTGGGATAGGCTATAGGGTCATTCAACCTCTGTTGATCCCCGCAAAGAGAGGGCGCCCGGCAGGGTTTTGCAAAGCTTCCCGACACGGAAGAGGTGCAGGTGCCCATGGGGCCCGGAGGCCCAGCGTCGTTGGGTCGTTGATGTGTTCATCGTTGGGGCGGTTTGGCTGCTTCCAGACCCCCACACTCCCATCAGCATCGCTTGGAGATGTTGTATGTTGTGCCCCCAGTAGAAAACTGATGAAAAACTGGGTGAAACTATGGTATACACTGTTTGCCTACGTGACATTCTATGACGCAATCCAACCTGAGCTGTTTTCAGCCTTTTCCATTGAGTCCACCCAGCTCCCACCTTGTTCAACACGCCTTTCCACCCGCATGAACTCCACAGACCGTGTCCAGGTCCTGCCGCGGTTGCCAGCGCCGCTTCCGGGCCAACCGCTTGCCGATCCATGAGGCCAAAGGGATGGCGAAGACGGATCCATTGAGCAAGAGATTGGGCACTTGTTCCTAGTAGCTTCTTTGTTACTACTAGCAAGGCACCTGTTTCTACTAGCGTGGCACCTGTTACAAGTAGCAAGAGTGTGTTGGAGCGGTATAAAGAGCATTGGGCGTTGATGTTGGAGCGGAACGTGCTGCGGAGAACATCACGTCATTACCCTTTTTGACCTGCCCCAGCCCGGGCCAGCAGACGTGGCATTCCAGCGCTCCTGGACGTGGAGCCATAAGCACTCCTCAAAAAGACTCGTCTTTCACCCGCTCGAAGCAGGAGTGGGGCTGTGACCTCCATGTTGGACCCTTCGAACCGTTCGTCCCATCGACTCCCATGACGGATCATGAGGTGGTGTGGACCCCCTGGGCGATGCCAAGACTTCCCAGACACGACCTGTTTGGGACTGATGGTTGGCCATGGGGTCAATGTATATAGGGGTAGATATTCCAGTCCCATGGAGTGTTTGGGTGTAGGTCAAGAAACCACCAAGCCCTCCAGTGCCACAGCTGACTAGTTTTCGCACCGAGCCTCAGCCTTTGAGCTTGCTGACACATGGATGCCACAGAGCGATCATCCATGTTCAACATCCGGTGCCCAAGCGTCTTATCCAGTGCGCGCATCTCATGAGGCATAGATGATCATAGATTCATGCCTGGCCATTGGAAAAGTGAAGTGGCACCATACCTCTGGTGCTTTCTGTTGCACTCCATGTCCAAAGATGCCCGACTCATGACTCATGACCAGACCCGTGAAGGAGCCAAGAAGTCCAGGTGTTTTCCGCTTCCACATGTTTCCACCCTTCCAACGTTGGAAAATAGGAGTCAGGAGTCAGGGCATATGATGTTCGATAAGACCCGATCTCTTGGGCCCTCCCACTGCCAGGGAAGACGGACTCAGGAGATTTGTGTCTCGCAATATGAAAACGGAAAGCCCAATTCTGGCGACGTCGTTGGATTCGGAATTTCCGATGGCGACTCATCTCGGACCGGACCGGCCAGGAGATTTGCCTGCGAAATGCTCAGAAGAAGTGGGTCTCCTTAAGAATCCAGGGGGGGGATGGAGGTGATCAGACGCCTTCATGGAGGTGGTCCGGTGTCAGGTGGTCAGACTTTTGCGCCAGACCGGAAGCGCTTAAGGACCGAGAAGGGTGTCCTTTGACTCTGTGCTTGTCTTGGGAGGGCGAGCCTCTGATTTTGCCACGTGCGACTTCCAATGAGTTGACACCGCAATCAACGTATATCAACAACTGTGTGCTTTCAAACAGGGAACCCCCCCCACCAACGGGTTGTGGCATGTTGTGGTCTATTTTCCTTCTTCCAGAGGGTCTTTGGGATGCACATCCACATGATGATCCACTCCTGTAAGGCAAGAAAGCAGCACACTCCGACGAACACACCACATCGAAATCGAACACGGCCCTGTTTTCGAAGGAACGTCCTTTGCCCAGGCCCCAACTTCCACGTTTGATGGTATTTCTTCTGCACGAACTCCCAACTCCAAAATAATCAAAAATATATGTTGCCGCATGAGGCTTCATTTTGCTCCTCAATCGAATCATACGCATTTCCTCTCCACTCTGGTCCCCGAAGACTTCCTTTAGAACAACTTGGGATGGTTGACTTGGGGTCCTCCATTGGAGTCCTTCATGTCCTCTCGAACGATCAAAGATGCTCAAATAAGAGGAGAGGAGAACTCCTGCCTCCCAGACTGTGGTGTTTCTTGATGCCTTTTTTTCGTGACGTAACACGTTCTCTATTGCTGATGTTTACTCTTTTTTTGAGGACTGTGAGGCAACACTGTGGTTGAAGATTCTCACACCCAACGCCTCTTCAGCCTTGGAGGACTCTGTGCTGTCTCATTTGTCTCTTTAAAATGACCATCAATGATCATTTTACCACCACAATGCATCTACAAACAATTCTGGTGATTTGAGCTGCTTCGCACGCTCCGCCTCTACCAAACCACCCAGCCCCGTCCGACACCACGGCGCGAGCGGCCCGCGCCGACGCACGAGGCGCAGCGTCTTTGAATCGAGCCGACAGCGATGTGAAGCCGTGCGGCCCTCGACCGATCCAAGCCATGGCCATTTCCCCTTGGAAAAGCGTCGCCGATGTATTTGTGGAAGGGTGATCACCGATGTCTAGGATCAACCCAAATGGTCAGGGGGAGGACGGCAAAGGCCCATTTTGGGGATGAGCCGCCTGGGACCTCCAGGATTTAGGGACCCGACTGAGAAAACAGCCGTAGCAGAGCAACCCAGTTATTGTGGAAGAGGAGAATGTCCCACACCAAGGCAGCTAGGCATGGCTAGGCAACCTAGGTATGCAGGTTCTTTTCAGCGTGAGTGGCCTGGCTTTGGTGTCAAGTCCATGACAGAGCCAAGAATAGTACATTCATGATTATGACTGCCTGGTGCTAAGCACGCAAATGTCCAACTCATCAGTTCTTTGTCTGTACTGTAGATGGAGAGGGAACAAGGCCAAACTGAATGGTATTGGACAGGAGCTCTACTGGCTAAACGGCTGAACGTTTGGATGAGTCTATAAAAACCATCTACTGGCACACCAGACGCACACATCTAGCTCCTTCCTCAGCTATTTGTTATCCCACGAGACCTTTTCATGCCGTGGCCGCGAAGCCGCTCAGGTGACGGGTCGTTGGGGCTCCCAGACTCGCCGTGCGAGACATGTCCAGTGCTAGACCTCTGAGGGGGTGCCAGGAATATATGGCCGCATGGTGCTAGAATATGCGCGCATTTTGTTGACATCGTATCAAACACAACTTCACAATTATTGTGAAGTCGTGCTTGATTGTGTTATTATGTATGTATTGTAATGTATTGTACTATTGTGAAGTTTTGGATTGAATTTGAACCATTGAATGACTTCGAGCGTGGGCACACGACGACGGACGAGAACCAACCACCTTTTCATCAAGGCGTCCTAGATGTCAGCAGTCCATTCTGGTTGGTCTTCAGAACATGGTCATCCGAACTGCTATGCCTGGTCCAATCTGTTGTTCCTGAGATGCTGGGAGGCTGGATGAGGCTGGGAGGCTGGATGAGGCTGGGAGGCTGACCTCCCCAGTAGTCTAATCTCTTCTTGTGATGTGATCAACCAAGGTCCCAAGGTCTTGACCCACAGCCACCATCAGCAGGTCAATCACGACGTGGGAGGATGTGGGAGGACATGACCATTCAGGTCCTCCTACGAGTCTTGAATTTCGCGATTGTCCCATGATGGTCCCCCCAGATCTTCTGCAGTTACACCCGGACCTCACGTTCAAGTGGAGCTCGCCATCACCTGTTTGCTCTTCGGAACATGGTCTTCCGAGCGACTCCGACCAGCGACCGTCCTCAGGCTGGTGGAGCGACTCCGAGCTGCGTGGCTCCCAGCAGCCGAACTCGCAGTGGGGGCGCCCCGTGGGGGGGAGGTGCGGAAGATGTGGTGAGACTGAGGGAAGGTGTGAAAAGACCCGTGGAAAGATGCCCAGAACCCTTTTGAGACTGGAAATCGTATGGGCATCAATTAGAATATCATAATGGGAGGGTGAGGGTATATCATCATGTGGTCTTGAGGCAAAGATAAGCTCAAGGCGACGCAACACCCTACTCGGATGTGGAAGCGCCTTTAGCAGACGGTGTTGTTGCCAAGAGAAACTGAAGAAACTGGAACAACGATGGAGCATGGGTCCCTGACTGTGGCCAGTAACAATACGACGCGTCCCCCGGCAGGTCTCCTGTAAAGCGCGGGAAGTCCCAAGACGAGTCCCTTCAACGAAAGTCGAACACGTCAAGACCATGTGCACCTCAGTTCCGACGTGGCAACGACATCCCAAAGACTCCTGTGTGAGCCAACCCTGCGGAGCAACCAAAGACGACATGGGAATTTGGACCAGAACTTTTTCTGACAGCCAGACCGAAGAGCCTTCCCAAGGGGCCTGCCGCGCTGTCCTCCACGGCCGCCACAGGTCCTCCGTTCACTCCATACACCGTTCACCACCAAGAGCGTGGAAGCCGAGTGGAAAGAGAGAAAGGACCATGAAGACAAGAGAAAGGACACACACCCCTGGAACAATCACGGAAGTGGATGGCCCCTTAAAGGATGACCCCGTCATCCTTTGAGGGGGTGAACTCCACCTTCCATATGACTCTGAGAGTGGAATGCAGAACCCCGCACCGTTGGAACCTTCAAGCTGTGTTGGTGCAATGAGTCCCAAAAGGCCTGCCTTTTCACGGGGCTTTAAGGATGGTCGGTCCTGAAGAGCATTTTTACATTTATAAACATCATATACCAGCACTAGCACCTTCAAAGGGGTCACCAATGGATACCAGCACTAGCACCTTCAAAGGGGTCACCAATGGAATGGAAGCCCCTACACTACTAAGGGACCTCCATTGGACACCCATTGAAGGTCCGGGCGTACGTTATATTTTTAATTTCTAATTTCTATAGTTTCGGAAAACAGACGTTAAACTCCCCGAAATAATCATGGAAGTGGAACACTACCTGTGTGGTATTCGGAGCCAGGATTGTTTCAGGGAGCATGCCGCATGCCCTTTCAGTCTTTGGGAGGCTCTTGGAAGAGCGACAAAAAGACTGGGTCTTGTTCCAATGGGTTACTGCACAGTAACCCAAGTGTTGACACTCAGCTGATGCAGAGAGAACGCACATGTGTTTTTTTGGGCGGCAGCAGGGGGAACTGCCTCGGTGTTCGTGTTGAAGGCTTCCATCAAAAGGCCGACCCGGTGTCAAGTGCCAACCACTTTCTGAATATTCTTAATCACTCATGAAGGTCAAGCCTGCGATTCTAAGTCCTCTAACTGGTTGGTTTTGGGTTTTATATAGATCACAAGGGAATTGCGCCCGTCTAGATCCAGTTAGTGAAGTCATGTGAATTGATTGTTTCATCCACTTGGCCACTGACCTTAAACTGGCCCGTTCCATCACAACTACAGCAGAAGCTGTTGGCTTAGGTGGATGAACACTCATCTAATCTATATAAGTTAAGGCCATTTCTTCGTTGACCAGCGCTGTTGAACACAAGTCCCCCCCAAGAAAACCACTGCAGTTCTGTAGGTTGCTTGTTGTATATATTGATAGACGGTGAATTGGTGAATCGCAGAAGACCTTGGAGACCGTGGAGAACCTTCCAACCTTCGCAGCTCAGCAGTCGTCTTCGTTCCGTCTCGTTCCGCCGGTGCGGAGGAGTCGAAGCAACGCACCGGATTTCCACACGTCAGACATGGGATGCAAAACCAACATGCGCTGCTCCAAGCAAATGGCCGTTTTCACGGATCTTACGTTGTTTCAAAGTTTATCGTGTTTGTTTTTGCGCCTTTCGGATTTCCAGGTTGTCGCAGAATTCAGGCAGAATTCCAACCCTGAACTCGATGAAGAGCCATTGACACTCTTGGGCGAAGATGCCTCTAGCTGCTGCAGCTCCAACCAGCTCAGGGATAGAACAGCCTGCTAGCTGTGGGAGGTTTCATGGGCTGCCCGGATCAGTGCACCTTTCAAGAATCTGTGAAATCATGGAATCCCTTCTGGAAGACCCACAAAGGATCGCCTCACGTCAGCGCTTTCACCGGGCCATTCCGTGATCTGCTCATGTCAGCGCCATGTGATGAGCTGCCACAGTGAGCAGTTGGATGAAGTGGAAGCGTTGCAAGCCATTTATCACGAGGATGTCGAAATCCTTTGTGATGATGAGGGACTCTTGGCGTGCATGTATCACGATGTACGGCAGTGGATCAAAACCTCACTCTAACCATGGGTTCGGTTGACATCCCTTGCAGAGGGATCTGCCGGGTCCCCCTGTGACAGATCCCGAAAGCCGTACATGGAAGTCGTACATGCTTTGCTCCGCTGAATAGCTTTGAATTTAATCTTGTTGGGGATCCCTGAACCTATGGGGAATCCCCAAGCTTGGAAATGAATGGTGTATGATATGGATGTCAAAAACAACATGTCTACATTCCAGGAATGCTCCTTCTGTATAGGACCCCCATAGTTCCATCATCCAGCGCACCTATTGAGGCCATGATTCCAATCATTAGTCCAGGAAACAAAGAAATGACCTTTGCATTGAACTTCACCCATTCATCCTGAAAAACTCCAGTTCTGCCGTTCTGCCCTTCAGAACTCTTTCCTTCACCCAGACTAGTTCGGCCTGTTCAGTGTCCTTCACCCCAGGCTCAGTGTCCTTGGTGGTGCACATCCACCCGGACTTGGCCCAGAAGCTTCTGCTGCGTGTGGAGGTTACCGCTGAGACCCCGGTGACCGAGGGCGATCCCAAAGGCGGCTATGCCGAGGCGCGGCGCACCCCCGAATGTTTTGGCCCGTCGTAGGGCCCCAGCCGACCGAGTGTGAGGTGGTTCACATGTTCTGCCTTGGAAGCAAAACTGTGCCAGCTCGCAGGGTCACGAATTCGTTGGATTCTCGCCCGCATCCCTGAAAAACGGCACAGTCTTGGTGTTCTACCGGTCCGTGTTTGGGGCCTGATATGTGCAGAGGCATGTCTTTGTGCGGTGGCAGCTGCAGGCACCCAATGTCATGGAGATGGCCCGCCGCAAGGTGGCTGGTTCTGCAGCTCCGGCGAAGCCCGCACTGGCGCGGAGTGAAAGTGGGCAGCACGTGTCGCACGCTGATCCTTGGAGATGTGACGCGTGATGGAACCCGGGGGCCCCCGGTATCGGCCGGTACCCTTGCAGATGTGAGAAACTGGAAGAAGAGAAAGATCGATGGTTTGCTTGTTGGGAGATCGGGAGATTTGCTACAAATTGTGATGTTTGGGGGTGTTTTATTGGGGTTGGCATGGTTTGGGTCAAAAATGGATACAATACGAGCTTGGGCCTTCCAATTCGACCAATTCCAGGAAGCAGAGCTGCAGCATTTGCCTCCCTTGCGTTTGCAGCTGAAACTGCCCGCAGACTATCCTTCAAGCTCGCCACCCACCTTCCAGCTCGCCAGCTCCTGGTTGGACGTCGACGTCCTCTCGGCCCTGCGATTGCAATTTGTCCCACAGGTGTGATTGACCTCATGTGGCAGCGGCATGATTTGTGATGTTTAGGGTCAGAGGAATGTGGGGATCAATGCATGGAAAATCCCGAAGGAGTGCGAAACTCTCACCCTTTGGGGTGGTACTGCACTGACGAAGACTAAGTCGTGGCCAAGTATATATTTCTAGAGAGGTTGAGCAGCCCTTAGGTGTTCACTGGAACACCACCATAGGCTCTAGGCCCAGTCATGGCCGCACCAAACCGGCGCAGTGCTCAAATTCGACTGGAATTCACCTATAGAACCAAGTAGACGAAGGTGCCTGAAACTCAAGAGTTTTAGACAGTTTTAGATATGTCCGTCCCAGATCCACGGACCATGGTCCCAGTGCATCCTGCCAGCGATCGGCAACCGGAGGAACAGAAACTGGTCTGTCCATCCTGAGCTTTGTTTCGTATGATAGGAGTGGGTGGTGTGATCACCTGGATGATGCTGTTTAGGTGATTTAATCTTTGGATTGCCCTCCAGGTTGCAAACATGAGCTAAGTCATGAGCTAATTTGCTGGTGTCCAGTCATCCACTGTGCCGAGTTCTCGGCTGCTGGAGTTGATTCGCAGTCAGCCAGTTGAGGTTTGCTCAGCCTAGGGTGGGGACTGTCCAAGAAAATTCACTGTCCCACACGACAGATCACGACAGCACTGCCCACTCGCACAAGCGCTGCACATCCAGGTCCTGTGTGAGAGCCTAGATCAGAAATGGCTCGAAGCAGCGCTTTGGCTGCGATTCGTGCAGGCTGCCATGAATGGACCACACAGAAACTTACAGCGCATGACAAACGACAAACACCTACATATGAAAGTATAGAGCAAAGCAGCCTTTCGATTCAGCAAAGTCACACGATTCATCCTGGTTGGCGTGATGCGTTCTGTGTTTGTTTGTATATATTGGGTACTTGTGCTTTTAAGTGTTGCAACCCTGGAGCAGACACAAGAGGGAACAGATGTTTGGCTATCAAAACAATCTGAAGGCCCATAAATCTTACGTTCATGATGGTCGTGAACACGGCCATTTTGTTCGACCTTTTTTACCGTGTTAGGAGGAAAGATAGCAAACTGAAACGGAGTAGCCAAATGCAACCCTTCAAAATTTCATCCCAGCCCTTCCACATTTCCAAGTGTCCATCAATTTGGACTCTGGACCGATCTTTCAATTTTGTCGTCGACAGACCGAGGAAGGCTCTCCGATCATCTTCACCTGGGCGGAAGCCTTGCGCTATGAAGTCCCTGAAGCCATCGGCACCGGCCCTGTGGTGCTGAGGGCGCCAGGTGCACCAGGGCTGCAAGGAAGTTCCGGGGCTACGAGGTGGCAATGATTCACCCCCCCAAGCACAATGATTCTTTAGTGGTTATACTTCGAGATTGTACATCATCTTGTTGGGGCACATTCATTTGCATCAACGTCCCTATCATCCGTGTTTCCAGGCATCAACATGATATATATATATATATAGAGAGAGCTTGTTTTCTCCTCCTCTGCACTTAAGACAGACTGCTTGTGTTTGGGCACCCGACGTTCGTGAACCGTCGCTTTGGGCTTGGGCTTCACCGTCGACCGAGGACGGATCCGACCAGCGAGCACGGTCAGAATGCACGAGCGAGCCTCGGCACGGCTGTGGCGTGGAACAGGGCGTGTCGCCGTTCGCGGGCGCGCTGGCGGACCACCGGGCTTTCGTCGTCGTCAGGGGCGTCGGTTTTTGCGGTGAAGGGCAGAGATCTTGATTTGTTTGGAGCTCTCTCTGATTCTGCTTCAAGGCTCTGGTATACTATGGTATACTGGATTCGAGGGATGGTCAACCTGACAAGTGTGTGGGATGATTGATTGGGATTGGACATGGGGTAGATATAGGAAGTTTCCTGTACTCTCAACTCGGGTTGAACGAACTCGCAAATCCCAAGATACACTTGGATGTTTCCACATCATGTTGAAACCAAACAAGATAAACATTCAC